CATAATAATCTATTCCGCTTTAAAAAAAAAAAAATTATTTGTTCAGAAATATGAACAAATCAAATCAGTGGTGGTTTTTTTTTATTAAGAATGTGTAATAAATGTATAACTCATTTTATTTTAATTTTCGAAAATGCCACTTTATTTTTTTTTCATCTTCAAAAACTTCAACCGTCTTATTACGAACTACGCTTATAACGAATAAATTTGACTGGTCCCCGGAGTTTGTTGTTAAGGGGTTTGACTGAAATTTGTTTAAACCAAACTGGTGTATTTAAATTGTACCCTACTATAAACTTTATTCTTTCAGAAGACCATTCCTTGTTCTCGTAATTCTCGTATTTATTTTTGGATTCCTTTTTCGATTTTAGAGGCAATATGTTTCATTAAAAACTTATTAAAGATTACAATTTTCTATCATTATCTTCTCTTATGTGTATTATATCCTTATGGCAAATAGCGACGCAACAATTTCTTTTACAGCCGTACATTTAAAGTTTGTGTCTTTTTAATTGAAATTTCATATTTTTATTCTTTTTGTAAGATTCGGGGCATTTTTTTGTCTTAATTTTCCGTTTGTACTACATTCCACCTTCACACCGGCGAACAGAGCAAATACAAAAATGGTAAATTAATTTCATAATATTTCTACACAACTTATTATATTTATGGGTGAAAATTCAATTCATAAATACGAACCATTTTTTAGCGCCAAGTAAAAATTTTGATTTTTTTATATTTTTTTTTTTTTTTTCATATTTATATTTGATAATATTTATAGCCATAATAATAGTGATTATGAAGACGTTGGTGATGATGCCACTTCAGAAATCCAAATGTTGCACTCTAATTAATGTGTGAAAATATAAATAAAAGGAACGATTGAGTGCAGCAGAGGTAAAAAGAAAACTTTATTAAATTTACTTTAATCGTAAGTAGGTGAAGATTTTTACATTTCGTTACAAAATAAAACAATAATAATAAAAAATAAACTATTAATAAATATATAAATATTCATGTTTATTAGAGAATTTTGTAAACAAAGTGTGTAATTAGCGAATTGTTATTGATTTAATTTCACGAGTGTTGTAATGATCATTTCTGGTTACTATTTGCCACTTGATGATTACATCATACCTACAGTAATGTAGTTTGAAATAAATTAAAATTCTCACACAATTTAAATTTAAATCAAAATCAATTGTCAATCAGAAAGTCCGACCATTAGTCAGATGTGTGTGAGTGTGTATCGATTACATTTCGTCTCAATTCCAAAGTATTCTAAATTAAATGGATAATGATTTAATGACTTTAATTTAAATATTTATATTCTATTTGTTTTTGTTTTGTTGGTTTGACATATTAAATAGAAATTAACACTAATCGCATACTCGTTCTCGCACTGCAGAACATCACATTACACACATCACTCATACTCTAAGGTGTGCAAACAATGTTAAACTAATCGATAACTTAATAGCACGAACATGTTGTTGAACACACAAATCGGAATAATATAAAAGATGCAAAAGATTTATTTCTAATGGGGAGCAGTATCTGATTGATAGGAATTCCAGTCATTGAGACTTATTTTATTTAAAAAACAAAAACCGACATTGCCAATAAAATTTTATTGCATTAAGTAATAACTAAAGACTTAAAGTTATATAATTAATGTAAACATTTGTTTTCCAGCATTTTTTCTCTGAGTGTATAACATAAAATATTATTTGTTTCATATTTATAGTAAAAGTTTTCGCACAAACAGGTGATTGTTTGATACAACTTTATTGAGATTTCTTAGAGGAGGCATTTAAAATAACAATATTATAGTCGTTATACGGTTTTATTTAGTACTTTCTACGAGTAAAAGTATAAATACTGACTGGGGAATATAAAACAAATTCTCTAGAATTTTTCTTAACTTTCTCATTCACTTTATTAGCATGTTTCATTTCTAATATTCATTCACTTTATTAGCATGTTTCATTTCTAATATACAATATATATTTTTTACATTTAATAATGCTAATGTACTGCTAGCACGTTATTTCCACGAATTTTTTTTTTATTTATCATTTATTTCGTATCTTGAAATTGTCGAAGTGTAGCTAGTCGTAAGTTCTCTGATTGTGATTTTGTAGAACATGCAATGTTTTGTGAAACTGAAACTGAACACAATAATGGCGAAAAATAAGTTTGCTATAATAACTATACACATGTACTTATATTTTGCCAACTCAAATTTTATCTAATACGAGTGAGTAAATAATGTAAAAGTTCAAAACGTTGTTTTTATTTTCTTGGTGCTTTAAATATAATTACATATTTAAATATTTTTTTTGACACAACTGAAATACAACAAATGATATAAACCAGGCCTAACTGATAATGTTTGAATTTATAAACTTTTATAGAAGAATAACAAATAAGAATGCCAATAGGGATTACTCGGGATTGGGAGCACTCTTTAAATTTCAAAATGTAAAAAACTAACTTTAATAATTTTATTAGCTAAAAGCAATACTTTCTATAATCAATCTGGAATTTAACCTTGGCAATGCAAATGCTAAAACGCACATTATTTGTTGGACAGGCAATGTGCATTTGCAAATGTCCAAACATACATACAAATGTACATAGTAATATTACGTCGTATTTTATATTTTTCCAACAAATAAATATACGCATATACGGGCAGTCAAACAGAAAAAAATACTTTTATTATGCGGTCTCTTGTTAAACAAATTATTATGTTTGCGAATGTGTGAATTGGCACATTGAACACCTTTGGGTGATTTTTCCATGGCAGCTTGATGTGCAACTTGTAACGTAATTATTCATTTATTTAAGTGCACGTACATAAAGTTGTACATATTTGCAACAGCGCTAGTTGAAGTAGCAGCAACATTTAAAAGAAGTTATGACTTTCAGTTTTATATAGTTTTAATTTGGCAATAAATACGAATTGTTAAAAAAAACTGAACTTATATCAAATTAATGAAATTTTGATATGACCTGGAATAAAAGTGAGGTTTACGTAAAATGTCTAAATCAAATTTCTTACTGGGAAAGTTTTCTATGTAACATTTTGGTATATTTTTATAAAGAGTATCCGTTTCCTTTTCGTTCACTATCAAGCAGCATATAAAAATATATAATTGTCTTCTCTGCAACAGAATTTTATTTCTGTTAATTACTTATATAGCCTGTACAAATCTCTTTTAAAATAGGGTGCATGCCACTTTTTAAAGTAAACATTTCGTTTCACCAGCATTTTTTTTAAAGTTCTTCGTCGGTTTATTTGTCTGTGGGTCTGTTGTCTTCTTTATGCTGTAAAAGATTCTAATTTTCCATCCATTTGCCACCGAGTTGCAAACCTACTTTTGGTGGGTAGTAGAGCATACACCGGCGTTTTTATTTTTTGCTCTTGTAATTTTGGCTTAAAATTATGGTTAATATTTTTTTAAGCACATGCAAGTATACATACACATATGTACCTGTATGTATGTGTTAATTGTTAAATTGCTTTGCATTAAAGTGGTTAAAGATGACTGACTTTAAAGGTAAAGTTTATATGTTGGTGAAACTGCTTTAGTTTCTTAAACATTTATTATTTCATGCGAATTTAAGTAATTGAAAGAAAACGTATGAATTTTAAAAAATTTTTTGGAAAAACTACATGGTTGGTGGAGTAGCTCTTTTTCGTTGTCGACTTTTATGTGTAAAAAAATATTATATGTACATGTAAAAAATTGTAAAGAGCGTTGTAATCTCTACCCATATAACATTTAAAAATAGTTGGTTGGTATGTTGAAAAGTTTTCCAACTGTACATATTGAACTATTTTAGAAAAGTTCTGAAATCTATTTCAAAATCTATTTGAAACCAATAACACAATTCATGAAATAACAACTTTTTAAAATTAATTTGACCTCGTCAACTTATCAATTATTAAAGTAAGTGCGAATTCGATAATAAATCAAGCAAAAAATTCTTAAAATAAGCACATTTTCGGATTAATTTAATATTGAACGATCTTCTTATTTTCATCTCATATGAAGAATGCCTTCAAACTTACATAAATCAAACCGAAAATACTAAAAAACTGTCTTGGTAGATCACTTTAATCACAAGAAGATTAAAGGAGAGCTAAAATTGATGGATCAGTATTTGAATAAAATGTTTTATACTTGGTTTCGTACTTTTGCCACCAGTCCGGATTGATTTAAATACGGGTTACTCAGTTCTTTTACTTGGATGTCTAAAAAATAAGATTCCATATTAATATTTTTAATTAATATGTAAATTTATGCATATATATTTGTAATATAGCTACATGCATATATATTTAGATATATACTTTTTTATTAATTAATTTAATTAGCTTGTCATAACGTTTATGGTTAATTAATGGCCTTTATATTCAAATAATGATTATTTTGGTAAATTAAAATATTGCGCATTGATATAATTAAGAAGATATCACGTTCTAAGTCTAACTTATTTTACCATAGCGCGTTAGTTATTTAAGTCTATCCTAAATACTCTATATTTAAAATTACGCATGTTTAGGTTATTGTTACATTTGCAACAGAAAATAATATCAAACAATAAAAAACGATTCAAATGATAAAAATACTCAAATTTGTTTTAAAAATAACAAGTTTCATTAATTAATCAATTTATTAAAATTTTAATTTTTTTATTTCATAGGGCGCGTTTAATTCGTCACCTTTTTTTATTTTGTTCTTACCTAAATTGAATATTTTTATTTTACTTTGTGGTTTCGATTCAATTGTATTGTGTATTTTGTTTTGTTTAATTTTTTCGCTATTGTTGTTAATGTAAATATCAATACAAAGAAGAATTAACAAAATGTGACGACAAAAAAGCTATAATTATTTATTTTACACTTATACCCAAAAGACTATAACAATATTATTTACTTACATACATATATGTATGTCTAATTTCGTATCTTTAACATTTATTTACAGTGGCCGTTCCTACAGCAAAGACAGCCAAAAAAGTTCACAAAGTGATTTGAGTTTGACAAGTGTCAGTGGTGGTGGAGGTGCTGGATCACCAAAATTATTGGCTAAAACTCCCTTGAGTAAGTATTAATTATTTAGTATTAAAAGAAAATTTTATGCATATTTATATGAATTCCCTAAATTAGGCAACACTTTATAAACATAAGAAATAATACTACTGCAGTTTGAGAAGCATTGTTTGTAGTTCCAACAGAGGGTGGGTATTTTTTATAGTGTGAATAAGACATGGAAAATTCTGTACTTTTCGGTATTCCAAAATACCGTAGTACCCCAGTCTCATTTTTATTGTTTTATTGTAAGCTTTTACAAATATCACAGAGTATTTGGCAAATATCATTGGACCCTATGAAACGCAATAACATCTTTCAATCTATATAATGTCCTAATGAAACCACTGCCCATTCCTATCGCCTATGCGTAGTTTACATTTTCTGAAAATTTTAAATTTATGATTTTGAAATAAATCTGGTCCATATATTGAGGACAAAAAATAACACGATGACTACATTTTGTTTTGATGATTTCTCTAATATTAGTCGTTCAAAGGAGAAGGTATATAGATCTGGGATCTATTCATTTTGGTTTCACTATATAGAAGCGATGCGAATGCAAATACATAATGTAATTCAAATTAATTTAACATTAATTTTCTGCCTAAACTAGAGACCCTAGGGCAAGAAGAAAGAAAGTCTGTGATAATTTAATTTTCTACCAAAATCCGAATTTTTGAGAAAAAACATAAAAGTCCATTTTCTGGCAAAACTAGAGGCGCTAGGGCAATGAATTAAATTTCTTTATTTTTTACAAAAATGTTTTTGGAAAAGTACTTCTTTAGTTGGCGATTTAAAAATTTGGATTTTCCATGCCTGAATTCTTTTTTAAAAATTTTGAAAATAACTGAAGATCGAAAAAATAAAATAAAATTTTGACATTTGTCGTTAATAACCCCATTGACTTGCTTGAAAGAAAGTTATTTTGTAAAAAATTTTAATTGAAAGAAAATCACATCACAATAACGGGGCCTTTAATCTGCCATTTACATTTTTACATAGATTTATTTAATGTAATTAACTAAACTTAATATGTCTTAAGCCGTATATTATTTCATTATTATTCGAAATATAAACTAGATCAAAATTTATATCATATTATCGAAACCAACGTTCATTTCAAATCATGGTTTGATAATGTAAAAAACAACACTTTGAGTGTTATTTACAATGAAAGCGCGACAGCAATTACATTTTTTAGGTGAATTTGTATTTCACTTAAAATGTAATATTTCATCAGTAATCCAAATATGTAATATTTTTTCAATTATTTACATTAAAAAAATCTATGTAAAAATTTTAAAAACAAAAAATTTTTCTGAAAAATTAAAAAAAAAAAATAATTCTTTTGTAATTAGCACCTTTCGAACTCTTTACTAAAATTGCGTATAATATATTATTTTCATTGAAATATGGAAAAAATCATAGAAATCTCCAAAAAGGGTAATATTGCCCTTTGACGGTAGGACCAAAAATTCGTAGAATTAAATCATGAAACATCAGTAAATTCTATTTTGGGTCGTGTTAATATATATATATTTTCCAAATATGTATTAAATGCTTATTTTAACATTACAAAAGTTTATGTCAAAAATTGGCATATATTAAAAACGGTCATTGAGGGCTTTCCACATTTCCCCATTAAATATTTGTTTAAATCTAGCATACTTTAAGGCTGACGATAATATAACAAATGTTTATAATCATATATGCCCCCAATGTTGTTAAATAATGTTGCGCTTGTAAAGTATTTCTCTTTTATTTTTAAAGATCATTTCCGTCATTCGATCTCTTTGTGCTCTTTATATGAATTAAATATTTTTTTTATAAAAATAAGTTAGCTTGTATATTGTATAAATAATAGAATAATCTTTATATTCTGCTCAACAACAAAAACCGGCTTTTTCATTGGGCAAGTGTATTTCATAAAAAATCAAATATAAAGAGTTCTGCTTGAGTTCGACTTCAATAATGTTGTGATTTTATTTTAAAATGTGTATTCATAAGATACTCTTAACTTGCTCACCTTCTGTGTGACTTGGAACTTTTGTTTCTTTTGGCCGTTGTCGCTGACAGTCAGATGTTGTTGTGTGTAAAATAAAAAATTAAACAAAAAAAGTTGAATTGAAAATGTTGTAAGCAAAACTAGCGAGCTGCACAAGTATATTTTTCAACAATTCAATCAAATTTAGTATGAGTTTGTAAACGGTTGTGATAGAAACTTATGAAAGTGTGTAGTTAGTGGATTTTAAAATTATACCGACAGAAGATAATATTTAGCGTGTTTTTCGATTATTGTTGCTATTTTCAAATTTAAATAATAATATATAAAATGTAGATAAAAATGACAACAAAAGAATTAAATTAAAGTTTTCGAATATCAAAAAAATGTCTTCATTAAAATGATTTTTAAATTTTAAATTAAATTGGAAAATTGTTATAAATTAATAATGATGTTGACGATGATGGCCTGTGATGATAATAAAATCTAAAATAACAATGAAAATTGGAAAAAGTGTAAATGCTAAATAAAAAAATGTGTTTGTGTTATGTACGTCACCATAAATAAATTGCCATCAAAATTAAAAAAGAAAAAAAAATAGTAATAAGTATAAATATTAAAAGTGTATCTAGTATAAAACAACTTAATTGTGTAAATTTGTTCATGTAATTTTCCATAATTTTAATTGTGGTTTGTAAAAATCAAACACAATTTAAATCCAGCAGAAATTTAAGAAAAAATAAAAAAGTGCCCCAGTGTTTTTCAAATTCCACTAAAATTTGGCTATGGACATGTTGAACATGGATTACAATTTTATATTGTTAATGGTGTTTTTTATCGTTGTTGTTTTACACTGCAGTTATCTGAATTTCCCTAACAAATTCTTTTGTTTAAAATAAAATTATTATTAAAACACACTAGAGATTTTTATCGCGCCAAAAATAATTAGTTTAAACGTGTATTGTCAGAAGTGAATCAACAGTATTCAAGAAATGTTAAATTAGTTTATTGGTTTGATATACTATGATATTAAATAAAATAAATTTAAAAATGTGAGGTTTGTGAATTCGAAAAAAATCGAATTATCAGATATACATATGTATATCTGGTAATACACGAACGCATTAAAGTCATTTTGTGGGCTTAAAGTAGTCTAAAAAGGTTTGACTAATTAAAAAAACGTTCCTCGGGACACTTCAATGTATACATAAATACAAATATAGGATAATATTATTATTACTTGTTTTTATTATTTTTAACTGCCTTATTCAACAAATTTTTTAAAAACTGCGGTTTTAAAGTATCTATTTTTACGGTATGTTATACTCCCATTTTAATGCTGTTTTAAAATGGCAGCATTTTATCTAATTTAACAAGATTTAGATAGAAAAGATAAATATGTATAGGTTTTCCAACTAAGTTAAACAAATATGCCATTATTGATATGTTATGAATAAGCGACTTTCACGTTTTTGAAAAAATGTCTTTTAATAAGAGTTTTAATACTTAAAAACCTCTGATCTTATGTAGTCACCCTCTTCTTATAAAATTTTAAATCTCCAACACGAAACGAGTATTTGTCGCTGGCAAATTTTAAAAAAAGGGGAAAAAACAAAATAATGACCATGATTTGTAATCTGGGCTGGGTATATGTGCGGGTATCTCTTTCTTTCCGACATTTTTTCTCTTTTTATTGTATTTTTTTCAAATCATTAAAAAGATTTGAACTTGTTTCTTTATATTCTTTTTACGTTTTCGTACGTATTTTGTTGTTTTGCACTACAACATTTTGCGGTTTTTACCTTTTTTAGTGAAATGTGTGTGTGTGTTATGTGATAAACCTCTCTAAATAAAATATAAATACAAAAACAACTACAAAAAACATTCCTTTCACGATTGATTCTCGTACTAAACGTCTTTCTATAGTTTCATCATTTGTTTCGTTGGCGTTAAACAACTGACAGTCAAGTTGAATCTTGCCACTGCTAGCCACCACACACTACTACATGTTCTACGATAATAATGTCTGTCGTTCATGAATGTCAAATTACCTTTTTGGTCGAAGATGGAATTTGTTTGTTTGTTGCCTTTTTATTACTAGTATTTCCCAACACATTGATTTGTCATTCCAATAGTGAATTATTTGAGTATTTTTCTTACAAATTTAGAATTTTAATTTTTTTGTTGTTGTCTGAAGGGTACAAGAATTTTGAATTAACACCATGAAAGTAAAAAATCGCTTAACATTCTAAGAATGTTTGGGATTAAAGTGATCCTTGACATGAACAGGCAAAATAATTTTAAATGTAGAAAATAATATTTATTATTATTGGTTAATAAATTGGTAGTTTTATGTTACTTGGGTTAATAACGCTTTTTCTTGAAACCTTTTAAGATACAATTTGTATTATGTAATTCATAAAAAATTAAAATGACAATGCGTGTGTGTTTTTTTGCAAAAATAAATACAGATTTACTTCAATATAATACAGGTTCAATTCAAAGAAGAATTGATAATAAACTATATGTAATTACAAAAATAAACCAAATTTTAATCAATAAAACATTGTATGTATTTACATATGGGGAATTTCATGTCAAGTGACCAAACTTAAAAAATAATTTTTTTTTGATGGATATCCCACTTAAATTTTAAAACAAATTTTTAAAAAATAATAGCTGAAAAGTTACACCGTATGACCAAAATGCCCAACTTTGACCCGGCAGTTCTTGACCGATAGAGCACGAAATTCCCCATATGTATATGTATTCTTGTACATATATAAAGTTAATGAGAAGTTATGCACTTAACATGTTATAATATAATAATTCTTTCTAGTGATAGACAACCAATTGAACAGATTTTATGTCGATAATATATGTATATTAAATGTATGCTATACACAAATCATAAATATGTATGTATGTTTGTATGTGCAGGTACTTAAAAATTCATACGTTATTTAAACAGGAAATCGGTAATGTGAATACACATAAATTTTTTTGG